ATTTTGGCTGTTACAATTCATTCATCTTTTATTTCATTCTTAGTACCTACATCTGGAGTGTCCTTAACTCCACCCACACTGGAGATCTACTACAATACGACTCTTAAATTAAACTGTACAGTATTTTCAGTTACTACTCCTACCATCAATTGGACCACTACAGCTAACATCACCATACCTATTGAGAACATTGTAACAATGAACACTGGCAACATGTACAAGAGTGTCCTCACTATTGATAATGTTGATCTCAATTATACTGGCCTGTATACTTGCTCCTCTACTAATCAAGGAGGAACTGAGAGTGATGTTTCAAACGTCACTGTTATTTGTAAGTGTCTTTATTATGTAATATTATGATTGTTTCAGTGGACATGTTTTTGTACTGCATAAATTGTGAGTGATATCATTACGATATCACAATAACATACGTATATGTACTATCATACCTTTTTTGATGTGTTGTGTTATTTTTGATGTTTGGAGAGCAAAATAAAGAAAACTAAAATAGAAATAAAAATCTATTTTAAACTGTGCTATAATATTAATCTGCCTCATGTGGGCTTGTGGTAAATCTTGTGGGCTGGCTTGATTAAGCAGGCTGGCCTTAGTAAGTGTTATGGTGTTCCACTACTTATGGATAGGTGGGCTTACTGGGGTGTTAAGATATTAGGTGGGCTTACTGGGTGTTAAGATATTAGGTGGGCTTACAGGTGTTAAGATATTAGGTGGGCTTACAGGGTGTTAAGATATTTAGTGGTTTTTGCTAATTCACCATCTTAGTTCTGTTCACATCATTACATTACATGTGTACATTTGATAAATCATGTATGTTGGTGTGATTAATACATGTAGTAGCAGTAAGACTCTTTCTCCCTTCCTCCCTCTCTCTCCCTCTCTTTCTCTATTCCATACTATAGTACCAGTTCCTACTGTATCCATAACATCATCACCTATGAAATATGTGACTTATGCTGATACTCTCTCCATCATGTGTAACGTCACTTCATTAATGAGACCCTCCAGTATAGTCTGGTATCATAATGACACTTTGATATCAAGTGGAGCTCAACCTAACTTCACAGCCACTGGTGCTCCTAATACATACACTAGTGTATTGGTTAGGGATAATGTGGTCCTTAGGGATAATGGAGTGTATCGCTGCCAGGCTGAGAATATGGCTGGTATTGGTGCCGCTAACATTAATATTAGCGTCTTTGGTAAGTACATGTATTGTGTTGTTGTTATTGTTTACATTTTATAGTGATTTGTTGTTGTGGTTATTTATTTTTATGTTAATTGTTGTTTATTGTTGCTACTATGTTAATGCTGAGTATTTCTGTATATGCATTTATTTTGATAATTTATAAATGTCTTATTTTTCAGTCTCCCTCTCTCTCTCTTCTTATACACATGCATATAAATGTACCTCAAACTCTTTTTTATTATTCAATCTACTGTTCTCTTCTCTCCCTCTCTCTTTCCTCCAGTCCCCCCACCAGTTATACTTGATCTTAATGATATCAATGCCACCATTGGTCTCAATATTACACTCAACTGTACAGCATCAGGTTTTGGTCTTACATATCAATGGGAGCAAGTTCCTTGCGGTCCTGGTTGTATAACTAATGGATTTGAGACTCCAATACTGTCAGTGGGACCTATTGTTTTTGGATCAGCTGGGGAACATGTTTGCAATGTCACTGATTTTATAGGACAGAAGGTTTCAAAGATCATTACTATCACACCATTGGGTGAGTATTGGAATACATGTTCATTGTATAATGTGTACATATACTGTGGGCTTTAATTTAATGGCAACTACACTACGTGAACTAAAAGTACATGTAGCATGTTAGTGTATGCAGCATGGAAATTGTTGGATGTTTTCCATAGTGTGCATATATGTACATATACATGTACTTTTTTGTGTATAAACATGTATGCATCTTTTTTAATGTTATAATTTTCATCCCCCTCTCTCTCTTTCTCAGGTCCTACTTTATTATCATCAAATGTGTCAAATTGTGCTGCCACTCCAATACAAGTGATTAATGGAACCAATGAGTTCCTGGAATGTTCATTCCAGAACAGACCTGATGCTCCATATAACCTCACCGTTGACTGGTTTATAAGTAGCCAAAGGTTTGGGTCCCCTCGGGCCAGTAATGCTAGTACCTTTGTTACTACCACTCCCGAGGATGAAAACAGGATTGTCACAACAATGATATCTTTTAATCCGGTGGATTATTTAAACTTTATCTCAGAAGACATATCAAGCTTTGAGCATGCCTATACCTGTACAGCTTATATTGGGGACTTCTTTAATGAACAAGTAACGAGTAATGGGACTTGTCTTGAAGGATTATGTAAGTATTTGAGAAGAAAGAGAGAGAGGGAGAGATTGGAGGAAAAGATAGAAAAATAAAGTAGAGAAAGCATTATGTATACAAAGTTCATACAAGTACATTCCGTTGTATTTGTTTTTTTTCTAGTTGGGCCTGTTCTTATAACAGGGCCTGAAGAGAACTCTACAGCAATTCTTGGGGACAAGTTTATGTTTAGATGTGATCCTGATTATTCTAACCCAAGACCTCATTTACAAATTAGCAAGATACTAACGAATGGAACTGAACTCAATCTGTATACTGGTCAATCTAAGTTGCATTCTATCATGAATGTTGCCTTTGATGATGCTGGTAATTACAGATGTGTATTGACTAATGATTATGGAAGGACTGAGAGCAACTTTCAACTGATAGTACAAAGTATGTGTGTAATGTAGTAATACAGTAAATATAAGTACATGTACATGTACATGTAATTGTATGTACATGTATATGTACAATCTATGTAGTGACAGTTTTTATTTAGACATTTAATTTTGACCGAAAGCATTAATTTAGAACGTGTTAATTCACAATATAAATGTTTCTTTAAAGTACATGTACATAAGTATTATTGCTATGTTTACATTCCGTTACCACACATTAACTATTTCAGTGGTGTGTTTTATGTGTGGGTCTGTGTGAAGGTGATTAATGGTCTGCCCACTCCTCACTCTAGTATTGGGAATATTTTGTCTCCATTTACGCTCATGCATGTAGCGCCACATGTACATGTACATGTGTATCATATTTAAGCTCAATGCATGTGAACTCTTTCTTTTCCTTTGCTCCTTTTTAATTTTTTTTACTTCTCTCTTCCTCCTCCCTCTCTCTCTCTCTCCATTTTCCCCCCCCTCTCTCTCTCTCTCTCTGTTTTTCTTTCTCCCTCTCTCTCTCCAGGTGTTCCTGATCAAGTTACTGGTGTGACTGTTACGTATTTGTCTTTTTTTGAAATTCTTTTCAGATGGAATGTCCCTAGTTCTAATTTTGGTCGTGATCAGCGCTATAATGTTGAATACAGATTACTTCTTGCTGAAGCTAGTTCTTCTAATATAACAGGACTTACTGATCCCAGCTATCTTCTAACTGATGTAGCACTTAATGTTAACTATTCTGTTGTTGTATCCAGTAATAATGAAGTTGGTAGAGGACCTCCCTCAGATGTTATTACTTTTCCTAGTATCAGTTCAGGTGGGTCTTAATTTGTACCTCTTTCTCTCTCTCCCTCCCTTTCTCTCTCTCTCCCTCCCTTTATTCCTCCTCATCATATGTACATGTACATATGTCCTTATTATATTCATGTACGTATAATCAATTTTCACATGCACATGCATACATGTACC